TCGTCGCTTTTTACGTTTACAGTAAGAATAATATACAAATAGTATCGAATTCATGATTAGCTGCGAATTTACTTAATGCCTTTTAATCCACATAGTGATCTTCTCCCCCACACGTCACCTACAGTGTTTACAGTTTTTCGACTAAATAAATCTAAATCTAAATAGATCCTTGTTAACTTAAAAAAAGAACGATGTCTCTTGTTCTAAAGATGAGATATTAGCCCATAAATCACTTCCTTTAACACTCTTCCGTTCCCACAAAACAACTTTACGTGCCAGACGTCCAGTCTTGCAGACACCGATGGACTTTCAAGAAGGTACTGGCTGGGAGTTCCAGGGAGCAAAGAGCTGCGGGTGTTCAATCGACGAAGTACACATCCGGGCAGAAACAGGTTCCCGTGAATCGCCCGTCCTGCCCCGTGACGTCACAAATCGCCGCGTGACTTGTTCGCCAATCGCCATCTGCAGGCAAGGGGGGTCATTACAGAGACAGGGGGCGGGGGTGAAAAGCAGATACTTGCTGCTGTGGCTAAAAGTGGTCTGAAAGACACAAGAAGCAGGCACATTTGACTTTTTGCAAGATCCAATAAACATTGGGGGATTTTACGAAGTAGCGCTAAGCACGAATGAAATGTTTTATTTAAACATCTGAAAAACGTGATGTCACCGTGCAAAAAAGACGTTTTCGCACGAAGACCGCGAACGAAAAAGAAAAAGTTGAGGAATAGCGAAAATGAACAACGGGGATGGACAGCGAAGAAAATGGTCAACGAAGAAAATGGAGAACAAAAGAGATGGAGAATGAAGGACATGGAGATTGAGGAAGATGGACGAATATGGAGAACAAAGAACATGAGGATGATCTTCATCGTTTTCCATATCGAGGAGAATGCTGAACGAAGAAGTTAGAGAACGAAGGAGTTGGGAGAATGAAGAAGATGGAGAACGAAGGGGGGGGGGACGAAAAATCTCCATTATTTTCTGTGCCGTAACTTACGTGTCTCGACAAATAGACAACCTATTTCGTACAAAAGTCAATAATTTCTTGCATTTAATATAAAAAAAATTTTAGGAGTGACCAATTCGCATCGTACAAGCCGAAATGAAAACAAAATAAGATGATTATCTTATATATTTTGCCGTTATTGTCCAAAAGACACACAAACCTATGTAGTTTTCACTATATGTTTTATGGTCACAAATCATTTCTATATTGAAATCCTCATTTTTCATTAGTCGTTAATGAAAGAAAATTGACTCATCTCTTTATCCCATAATCCACAGAAAATAATAAAATCATATTTAATAACACTATCTGTCAGGGGTAATATCACAATAATATTTCTTGTCGTATGAATAAGTGATCACATACTTCATTATTTCAGTACTTCTGTCAGTTTTAAACATGCACTGCCACAACAGAACAAACTTCCTACATTATTTGTAATTTTGAATTTTTCTAACGTTCAGCTATTACAACGAAAAGCGGACCTGCCCCATGTTTATAAGCGCATTTTGACACTTCGAAATCACGCACCTTCGACGTAACCTGAACGCCCAGAAAAGGGCCCAAGGGTGAGGAGGCTGGATTTGAATCCCAGGGGGACCTGTTGGTAAGGAGGCAACTCCTCACTGGCATTCCCTTGGAATTTATTACAGTCTCCGAAAAGCAACTTTTAACTTGTCGACACTTAGCGACGAAAGTACGGATCGTCGACGTAATCTGTTCGGCGGGAAAAGACACCAGCAGACGGACGGTGCTTCATTATCAGAGAAATAAAATTTTTAGAGCCGTTTTGCGAAGATCTTGTTTTTGAAATTCCTTTTATTTCACTGAAATTTACGTTTCACGCAAAAACATTTCATATTTCGATACAAATTTAAATAGCCAAACTTGAAGGTCTAATTTTGAGAATGCATTAAGAACAAAATCGTTACCCGCAATACTGTAGGTGGCTAAAGGTTTCGATTGATGCCTGTAGTGCGCCTGACCGGGAGGTCCTAAGGATCGACTCTCAGCGATGGCAGATTTTCGACACTACGCAGATAGATAGGCCGAATTCAGCCGCTATTGGGAGGAGAATTCTAGCAGGCGGCTGCTCTGATCGGAAGTTTTCTGTGGTTTCTCCGGTCAACACCATGCGAATGCCGGATCAGTACCCTAACAAACGGGCCACGCACCGCGCGCGTTCTCACTTTCCTCCACCTTGTCCTATCCTCGTCCCTTACATACACACACTAACATGCACTACACTAACACACATGCTGGAGACCCGTCATGAGCTAAGAGCGTGTCCGGCTGGGCGGTACCCCGCTAGCGGTACCCCGGTACCCCTTAACATAGTTTACACCCAGAAACGGCATTGGAAACAACAGACGCATCCGAGGCAGCTACGGACCAGAGAGGTGGCTCAGAGAGTGAACTAATGTCACTGCAGTGCCACTGACCGGGAGGTTCGTGTCCCGGAGGTGGCAGGGAATTCTAGACTATCTAGATAACTAGATCCAATTCTGTCGCTGTCTGAAGGAGACTTCTAGGAGGCGACTGCTCTGATCGGAAGTTTTCTGTGGTTTCTCCAATCAACACCAGGTGAATGCCGGAGCAGTACCCTTGCAAACGGGTCATGGACCGCGCGCAATCTTTCGTTCGTCTTCCTTGTCCTATCCTCACGCCTTACTTACACGTACATGCACTAAACTATCGCATAACTCGTGAGAGCGGTCGGGAGTTAAGAGCTTGTCCCGGCTGAAACGGTTCCCTGCAGGTTGGAGATACTTGTTTGAGGAAAATCCTGCTAGCCGACGTGTAGCGACGTCGGCGACAAATCTCGCCATGTAGGGGAGAAATATCGCCACCCTCCGCATTAACATGCATTACACTTACGGGACTAAATAACTTAGCAGTAGACGCGCCTGGAATTACTAATCAATTAATCAATATTGTGGTGGTAAAGACTCGGAAAAATTAAACTTTCACGATTTTTGAAAATTCAGAGTGAACAAAATTATTGAGACGGACATGCAGAAGGACAAACATGCGGACGGACAGACATACAGACGTTTTGATATAAACAAATTTTTCGATAAGACGAGAAATCTGATTTCATAGCGTGTTAGAGGAAGTTATTTGCAAAATATTTAGGAACAAGAATAATGAGTTATTATAGAGTTCTAGACTAACATTCTGAGGAAGGAAGGAAAGACTGCATTCGGCTCGTGGTCCGAACCGCATGACATCTTTCCTTTCTTAGGTGAGACAAGCGTCTGAACTGAAGGAAAGCGCCTGGAATCGAGGGAAATCGATCGATCACGTAATCAATCGATCGATCCGAGTCATTGGATTCTAGAATTCTCATCCAAACCATATTAGGCTACTTATGAAGATGACTTTGAAAGTTTTCCACATTTGCAGCTCGAACTAAGTATCATTTAATATTCGATATTATATTGGTGAATTTCAATATTAATTAAATAGGAATAAGTTTGTCCTATTTTTCTGAATTCAGACCACAGAGTACAGCAGCGCAGCTATTTGTTGTGAATTTTATTCTTTACCTTCCTATGGTTGGTGAATTAATAGGTTTATAATAGATGGAATATAAAGAAAGGTGTTTTGTACAATTACACAGAGCAACAGTAAACAGTTCACACAAAATTTTGATGAAGAGATTTTGACAGACATTACACCTGATCCTACACACAGAACCTACACACGATATCAAAAATTTGGCTGACAAAAACGTCTGCCCGCACGCCCCTCGATCCGTCTGTCGGTAGGTCAGGCTGTTTCTCAACAACACCAGATCCTAAAACTAAACGTAGAATTATCTTATGATTAAAAAGAACAAAAAGTGCCACATTTGTAAAACCGGAGGGGGGAAGAAACGATAAAGAGAATAAAAAGGCATTAGAAGGCAAAAACCACAAGAAGATGAAAAAACATGGAAAAAGGAAATTTGAGAAGGGACGTAAATTACATGAACGAAGCCTTGTTCCACTAGTAACACCATCCTGCTTGGTGGTCAGATGTTAGAGAAGCCACAAAACACGTGCACACATCCGGAAGTGACGCAGCTCAAGGCCAAGGGTCGGCCAACGAAACTACTGGCGATGCCATGTAAAAATGAGCAGTTGCGAGGCCGAGATATATTTCATTAAACGGAGAGAATGATACACAAAATGCGTGAAAAAATAAACGATACTTATAAATGTACATATGGGATAAATCGTTTTCCAAAAAAAGGGAAGCTTATTAATCAATATTGTTTTTAGCTGTCCTACGTAACGAGGCAGCGACCGTATGTGCCTGCCAACTCTTTGAAAGCCTGTTCTTAGAAAAGATCGAATCATCTAACCATAAGTCCCCTTGTCAGGAGTACGAAATCCGTGAACGATCGTATGAACGGCGAGGAAAAATCGTGCTGACAGAGTGCTCGTTTATTCTTTGCCACACAGATCATTACCACAATGAGAAATGAATTTATTCCATGAAGTTAAGGTGCATGCTTTTTTTCAAGAAGACCTCTAGAGACCTTCCAGTATTTCATTTATAACATGATATAGACGTTCCCATAATTGTACCGGTTACGTAAGAATCTAATAATTGTATTACAAGTTTAATGCTACTACAATCATTTCAGCCGTCTCACAAAAAACTGTCCTTATTGAAGAATATGTCGGTAACAATACGGAACGGTGTTTGTCTGCCATAACGGAATATGTCTGTCAATGGCGTTTCAAGGATCAATTTGAAAATGGATTCGGATTGTCAAAATTCACATATTCAAAAATTATCCTAATCAAAATAAATTCATCATAAATTTAAAACTATGTGTCTGTCTCTGTCTGTCTGTCTCTATCTGTCTATCTCTGCCTGCGTGGCTGTGCCTGCCTCTGTCTGTCTGTTGCCTGCCCTGTCTGCCTGTGCCTGCCTGTCTCCTGTGCTGCCTCGTCTGCCTGCCTGCTCGTCTGCTTGCCTGTCTGTCTCTCTGTCTGTCTCTCTATCTGTCTCTTGTCTGTCTCTCGTCTGTTCTCTGGTCTGTAACTCTGTCTGTTCTGCGTTTCTGTCTGTATCTCTGTCTGTTCCTCGCTGTATCTCTGTCTGTCTCTGTCCTGTCTCTCTGTCTGTCTCTCTGTCTGTCTCTCTGTCTTCTCTCTGTTCTGTCTTCTCTGTCTGTCTCTCTGTCTGTCTCTCCTTCGTCTCGTCTGCTCTCGTCTGTCCTCTCTGTCTGTCCTCTCTGTCTGTCTCTCTGTCTGTCTCTCTCTGTCTCCGTCTCTCTGTCTGTCTCTCTGTCTGTCTCTCCTGTCTGTCTCTCTGTCTGTCTCTCGTCGGTGTCTCTCTGTCTTGTCTGCTCTGTCTGGCCGTCTGTGCTGCCTCTTCCTGGCTGGTTCTCCCGTGTTCCGGTCTGTGGTCTGTCCTCGTGTGCTGTCTGCTGGTGCTTGCTCTGGTGCTGTCTTTCGTTCTGTGCTGTCTGTTCGTGTCTGTCCTGTCGCGTCGTGTTGCTGTGCTTCTGTCTCGGCTGTTTGTCTGGGTTCTTGTCTCGGTCTGTTGCGTTCTGTTCTGGTCTGTCTGTCGTCTGTTTTGGTCTGTCTGTGTTCTGTCTGTGTCTGTCTTGTGTCTGTTGTGTCTGTTCTTGTGTCTTGTCTGTGTCTGTCGTGTGTCTGTCTGGTCGTCTGTGCTTGTGTTCTGTCTGTGTTCTGTCTGTGTCTGTCTGTGCTGTCGTGTCTGTGCTGTGTCTGCTGTGTCTTGTCTGTTGTCTGTCTGTGTCTGGTCTGTGTTGTCTGTGTCTGGGGTCTGTGTCTGTCTGTGTCTGTCGTTGTCTGTCTGTGTCTGTTGTGCTGTTTGTTTCTGTCTGTGTCTGTCTGTGTCTGTCTGTGTCTGTCTGTGTCTGTGTTCTGTCTGTGTCTGTCTGTGGTCTGTCTGTGTCTGTCTGGTCTGTCTGGTTCTGTCTGTGTCTGTCTGTGTCTGTCTGTGATCAACGCTACCCCGATCAGCGGATTTTCTCCAAAACTGATATTCCGCATTCGATCTGGCTGATGTCGCGGCCCCTTGAATATAAAACTGATATTTCAATTTTGAGGGACACTTTACATGAAGCCCCTGGAACATTTTCCAATTTTTAAAAAAATGTCTCCATCATTTTTGATTAAATTTTGTTGTTGGTTAATGCGAAGGACGTTGAAGAGAGTGGTACAGGTTCCATGTTCATTGAAAACCCTGATTTTTTGTTCGCTTGATAACCTTGAAAATTGCAAAAATTCGATATTTTTCGGAGTCTTCCTATAACTAAGATATTAAATATATAATTTTTCACCATATTAAAATCTGTTCCTTTAAGAAAAATTTTAAAATAAGAGAAAAATCAAAAAATTCAATACTTTTTACGTAATTTTGCGTGAATATAGGGGCGAGAAAGTAGTGCTTTTTTAGCAGCACTAGTTTCTTTAAGAAACAATCTGACTAAATATTGAAAGTATATGGCAGATTATAAAGAAAATAACTATTGAAATTTTTGAGATTTCTGTGGTTGTAGCGAAACGAGCACCCATACAATATTGAGAGCATTTTGCCACAGTTAGCAAAAAGTGTAATTACTTTTTTAAGGCATTTCCGAAAAGGTATTGAAATTGTCCTGTGGTCTTAATGTAGTATCAGCCAAAGCGAAAAAAATTCGTTTCAAATTGAAAGTACTCGAGCTCGATTAGATCTATCATAGAATATTAATTTTGGGGTACATACTGAGACACCAGTGTTTTTGAGAGGCAGCCTGAACCTTAAGAGGCAGAAAATTAAATACGTTTGTGTATCTTGAACACTAAAATGGGCACCTGAATATTTTCTTTATAAAATAACTGAATGAAAGTAGTCATAGGTATTTTTTGTATTTCATTTGTGTTATTTAACATTTTCTCCTCTAGTTTTTAACAAAACATTTTAATTTAAAATAAATTTACACAAAATGTCATTTTCATGATAATTTATACTGCCTATTTTTTTAATGTACAGTCCGTCTCCGCCCATTAGGGGTTATTGTAGGCGTGTGGAACAGAAACTTTTTGAGCCTAAATATCGGAGGTGTTCGAGAGTATCAGTTTTTTCGAGGGTATCAAGAATCCACAAATCATGGATTCTAGTTACACGACGTGTTATTGGAAGTAATTTACGATATTAAGGAACATGATTTATCCACTTTTTAATTACTAGGGCCTGACAATAACAGTTTTTATGTCGAAATTCGCCGTTTTCGGGCGCACGAATACAATATTTTCTCTTCTTTCATATGCAAAGGCGAAAAAATGTAAATAAAATTATATTTCATAATTTCAATAAAATAAATATATTGTTACACAGTTTAATATTATTTTGAAATGTTGATTACATATCCCAGGAAGATGAGACATTTTTTATTTTGAAAGCAGGTGGCACTTCTATATACCACATTCTCTCTTTTGGTGTGAGTGATAGACATGCTCATTCATAACGTGTGAAACGCCAACAAAGAGGAAGTTTTGCACGGTGTGTCAACGTTGATTGTTTTCATGATTCCTGACGCGACTACTATGGTCATAAGTCCCGTAAGTGAAGTCCAAGTTACTTCCACCTCCTCATTCTCCGTCACAGCCGGGACAAGCTCTAAGTTCCCGATTGCTTGCCAAACATGTGTGATTGTGTAAGTGTGTGTAGGTAAAGTGAGAGGATATGACTAAGACGAGGAAGGAAAGATCGCGCTCGGTCAGTGACCTGTTTGTTAGTCTGTTCCGGTGTTCGCTTGACGTTGAATTGAATTGAATTGAATTGAATTTGCCTTATTTTACGCGGCGAGACTCAGGCCATCAGGCCCGCTCTTCTGTCTGACCACGCAAATTTCGCTACCCTTCTTTCATATAGCAGAAAAGAGGTATTTCTGGGCGAGAACAGGCGATTTGAATTTAGCTCAGAGGCGTCATTTAAGGCTTGAGGATCTTACATGCAAGTAAATCCTATACATGGGACAAGCCGGCTTTACCTTCCCTCCGAAGGAAGGGCGTACGAAGGATTTTGTCGCCCTAAAAATCCACGCTTCGATCGGATTGCACCCGCGAGTCCGGTACGCAAACGTCATACCATCGCCGCCGTTGGTCGGAGAAAGCACGGAAAACTACCGGTCAGAGCAGCTGACTGCCAGGGTGCTCCTCCAGACGGCGGCTGAACTCCATCTAGCTGTAGAGGTAGCGTCGAACAACCTGCCACCCTCGGGACTCTCACCCTAAGGCCCCAGGTCAGAGGTCAGTTGGTGTCCTGAGGCACAAGCCGGTGCCACTGCTCCAACACGCCTCTAACCCGAGTAAAAGTGTTGTCAATGAATTTAACTCTTGAGGCAAAACTATCTTTTCGTTTTCTTTTAACAGACAAACATTTTCAGATTTTTAACGGTTTAGTTATTTTTTGTTGTTGGCGAAAGACCTGGTATATCATAAATTAATTCGGCTACCGTAATATTGTAGGTAAAAAATAATATTAATTATAACTATTTCTCAACAAGTAATGGAAAGCATCTTTTTTTAATATCCGTAGGCATATGTGCAGAGTATAGAACGTAAGGAGGTACTGAAATATTTTTGTCCGTTATTTTCAGGGAAGTTATTTTACAAAGAAGTATTTGCCACTTTTTTCTTGACATGTTGTCATATATTTAAGGTTTTTATGTTCAGTTAAGGTATTTAATGCTCAGTCACACACTTCTCTTGACTGTCTTGTATATACTTTATACCGTTACATTCAAACACCACATATTATACGGATATGTGTACCAGAAGACAGATTGATGAATATCCGTCACAAAGATGAGGCATTCGCTATTTTAACCAGCTCATTTAATTATTTACATAATTCAATTTCTTTAATTTTTGCTAAATTAAGAGACCTCTTCATGAAAGGTGAAATTTAACTCATCTTATTCTCACATTAAACAACGGCAAAAGCAAACCCATTCATACGAAACCGCGGGAAGACATCAATATTTTTATTTCTCTTTCTAAAGTTTCAAAAATAGAAGAGCTGATTTTGGTAACAAAATTCCCAATTCACAGTCTAAATATGGCGACTTAAGTATTAAATTGGATTTGCTATGGTTTTATTTAAATAAAAATACCGTAATTCCTATTCTTATTTAAATTCTTTCTGGATTATTTCGTTTTACATTACTTTGTACATTACGTTGTACATGTACATGTACGGTGTACACTAACATTACTAAACAGTAATGTTAGTATCATTTGTTACATACAGAATGATTTAAAAAGATAATTTCCTCAAACCTTGACCAAATATTATTCGAAAACCTGTAGTAAATATTCACTCATTAAGTGCCTATCAAATGTGATCTCAGGAAATAATACGTAGCAATTAATACTCTTCTTTTTGCGAAAACAACTTCTTCGATCTTAAATTCGATACGAATCAGTACTATGCACATACATTTATCTACATACTTGTACACTCACGCATACGCATACACGCATGAACATAACTCATATATAAATATACAACGTATACACATTCAAACATACACGTACACACACATCATGAAAATTCAAGTTGTTCGGTTGCAGATTCCCTCTAAAGTTATTGTAACCAAGATTAATCAACATGTCATGATGATTCGAACTGGATCCCAGCATCTTGGAAAGGACAATATATTGTGTGTCGTGTTTTGAAGAAACGAAATCATGACGTGAAGATATCATCAATATTTTGCTGCGAAATTTCATCGCACAGAAAACAAAGCGACAAAACTACATGCTTTTGCACTTAACGCTGTAATTGTACTCTGCGTAAACAACAGTTTCAAACACATTAGTAAACTCTCCCTCCCTCCCACACAATACTAAAATAATAAAATCTAGTGTGAATAATTATTTTCAATTTGCACCACTAAATGTAAACTTGTGTTACATTAAAAAAGTTCATGTGGTTCTCTTACGTCTTCAAAATAAGTCCAATAATTTTCTTGTAGCCATATTGCTCCTTTAAGAGCTCCAGTTATCATTTTGGAAAGAATGATATATGCAAGACCTCTTCCAATTTATTGTATTTGAAAGTGAGGATGCAGGCGCCATACACATTTCCGCGAGCCTACGTTGTAAATGGATTATTTTCCATTATATAAGTCAGATCACGTCTATTGTGCCATCACAAATTTATTGACAGGACATATTGTACATGTTACATCAGGAGACATCAATAGGAGGCCGTGTATGCGTGTTGTATTATACGAGTGATGTTGAGTGAAAATTAATAAATATCTTCACTACTGTGAGTGATTCGAGTTATGTAGAGTGAAAATTAAATTATAATCCAGTGCAGTGTGGGCAGTTTTGATCAGAGGTGCAACGTGGATTATTCTAAGGAGGGGCCGGGGTATAGTTGTAGTTTACATTTGACTTGATTTTTTCTTTTGAATAATTTCTCATTAATTTTATAAAGAAAAAATCTCATTTTCATAAAGAAAAAAAATATATTTATATTTTTGATTTAAAGTTATTTATAAAATATTAAATTGAGATAATGAATGAATTTCGTGACTAAAGAAACTTAGTAAAAACATTATTTGTGAATTAAAGTATATTCACAAATATTGTGTGATACTTGTAAATATAATTAGTGAATTAGGGTATATTCACAAATATTCTTATTATCACACAGAATGTCGTTTTACATTTTTAAAGGCATGACTTGCGGGGGTAACTGATGCTCCATGAGCCCCCCCCCCTCCCCCAGGTACATCAGTTTTAGAGCGTGGAGATCTTACTTGACGGTGCGGGTCGGCGTGCCGGTAGGCGATGTAGACGCAGGAGGCGGTGGCGGCGGCGGCGGCGGCGGCGGCGCGGCTCCTCGTGGCGGCAGCGGGGCGACGCAGCTCCAAAGCAGGGCCCTCCCGCGCGGCGGCAGCGGCGACGAGCGACTGGCGCGGGGCGGCGCCGGGCGTCGACGCCGCGCCCCTGGCGCCATCTCGCGACGCGCTCGGAAGCTCCTCCCCGCGGTCGCCGCCGCCGCAGCCGCCGCACCTTGAAACCTCGCGAGTTCACCAAGCAAGGTTGCCGGCGGGGAGGTTTTCCTTGCGGGTTCTGGGAAGGCTCGCGCTGTCGCGAAATACGTGATGGTGGACGCGACGCGAAGCCACGCGACGCGATGCGATCATTGCAATCGGCCCTGATGCAATGCGATGCGATGCGATGCGGTCCGATCCCATCCGATCCGATCCCATCTGATCCGATCCGAACCGATCCCGTCCGATCCGATCCCATCCCTTCCCATCCCGTCCCGTCCCGTCCCGTTCCGTCCCGTCCCGTCCCGTCCCGTCCCGTCCCGTCCCGTCCCGTCCCGTCCCGTCCGATCCGATCCCATCCGATCCCATCCTATCCGATCCCATCCAATCCGATCCGACTTAATACATTGTAATTCCATAGGACATGCCGCAACGTGATCATGAACGACGTGATACCATGAGGTGGAATGTAGGATCGTGGTTATGCATTGCATCTCTTTCCGGCAGTTACAGAAATGTTAATGACACTAATACTGTCGAGTAATTTTTTTTTCATTTTGAAGAGGGCAAATAAAAAAATCCCTACGGTGCGTTGCGAAGTCATACAATGCGGAGTAGAGTTGTGTGATTTGAATGCAGGATCTCTTTCAGGCAGTAACCGATTGACATCTGAAGTCACGAAGTGTTATCAGAAGACAAACAGTATTGAATTGCAAAATATTTCATTTTGATGGCAAAAAATAAAAAGGATCTGTTCATACCACAAAAACCCATGCGCCATAATTACGTAGTACATCAGAAGTAGCTCTTCTGATGTGCACACAGTGATTCATGGAAAAACATATCATAGATTGTTGGCAAATAATAATAATAATAATAATAATAATAATAATAATAATAGTAATGTTTTAGTGTCCTGGTTCGTATATTTATTTTTCTATCTTCAGGGAATACTAAAACTTACAGTCATTAGAACTCACATTATGGAAATATTCATTAAGACGTTTTTCGGAAGATATCTAAGAGATCCAATGATAATCGGCACGACCTGCATAATAATGCCTCACATACAGCTGAACTCGATTTCCACAAGTGCAAGTAATATTTTGTATCGCAACATCAGAGGGGTGCAAGGCTGCATTGTGAAAGCAAAATGATTACTTAAACTGTACTCTGCCCAACTTGTTGATAATACAATAGACGACATTACTACACAAACTGGACTACAATATCACTCATTTTAAACTACTCGTATTTGTCCTGTCCCATATCACTGCGAGCATCACACATATCACTGCCAGACGAGGCCAGCACAAAGGACAATTCTTTCTTTCAAACACTTTGTGAAACATTGACAAACTTTGCAAAAGAAATTGGCCCTGTCCAGTATTAATACAAAATAACCTATATTTACAAAATAAACATTGTTGTTATTTATTTGGTTCATTCAGTAAAATATCAAACAATATTGCCATTTCCATGCACTGTGCATACCTAACAAATGATAATGAACACCGAATCTTATGTATAATGAAAAATATTTTATTTGTAGTAACAGGACCCTCTGTTCATAATCCCTTGTCCCGTTCCACATTGGCAAACGCGGAAGAAAAGGTTCGTGTGACTGCAGAGGAATAGTGAACGGCGAGTAGCCGAATTAGTAGGCCTCAATTCGACTTCGCACACCCGTAGTCGATCGCGTGCATCGACCTGCGTGTTCAAGCACACAGATCTCTCTGGGATGTCCGAACGTCCCTTGATCAGAGCACGGCCGAGAAGAACCAAGGCGGGATGTGCCACGGCACTAGGCCGGGCCAGACGGCGCGGCGCTGCGCTGCGCTCTCGATCAGGCTTTTGTCCGGTTTCCCTGATCCATTGAGCAAATGCTGAGATGGCCCCTTATTTTGCTTCCGGACGTAAATGTAGCTCCACTCTGCGCACGTTTTGTTGAACTCTCCTTTTGCTTGTAGTGGTAGGAGTAGAGGTAAGGGTGAGCTACTATTTTGTTAGCAATGCAGAAAAATTACACTTGCAACTCGTTTACCAAAGCAAATAGGTTTTCTATAATTCGGAAACGAAAATGTCTATTTTTTCAAATATTTCTAATCGCGCGATTTTTATAAATTTATTTTTATTTATTTATTTTAAACTTTTACTCATCTTTCAACTATTTATAATGAAAATGACGGGAAGGGATTCTGGAATTCAAGAAAACGTGCACAGATAATCTTCTTCCCCATACGTCTCATACAGTTTTACTGTTTTTTGTCTAAATATATCTAATTTAATCGCTCTCAGCAAATCCATCTTGATTTCTAATACGAGGGGAGTATCCAACCGAAATGAAAAAATAATAAATAATATTTACTTCTGCCATAAAATAAACGAAAGATGAATTTCAATGGAGATGCTCTAAATCAATGTACCATTAGAAGGCGCAGTTGCCAATTCACGAAATGCTAATTATGTCTCCGGTTTTATTTGATATGTTATTTCAAATATTACGAGCTTTTACGAAGGTAAAAGGACACATGCATATTATGAAGAATTATTAATACTGTTCTTATTCACATTGCGACATTAAATGTTAAATTAAACTCATTATGATGGAGTTTTGAATACAAAACTGTGTTTTTATGTTGTTTTTTAATACGCCATTGCAGAACTAATGGCAATAATACGATGGGATGCATTACTTGGTGATGACACGCAATGTGATGTTACATTGTGACTCACTGCGAAAAATTAGCGTGAATTCGCGTGTGAGCTCGAAATATTTCCACGCCTAGTGGGCATAGCGTGTGTGGCCGAATAACCTTGCAGCGAAGCGTTCAAGAGGTGGTGACGGAAAGGCTTCTCTTGGTTGTTCTTTGTACAATAAAACTTTGCTTGTGAGGTACTCTGGGAATATGTGCAGAGCTTTCTTCTGATCCAATTGTGACAATGTTATGAGGGTATTTTCAAAATATGTTTACATATTTTTATTTGAGTTAATCATTGCATTGGTATGAATTAACAAGCGAATTAAGAAGTTCCCAATCTTATACCTGACAAGTGGCGTGATTATATTATTAAAGAATTTTTGGAAACCATTCTTTTTCATGTGTCACGAGGGTAAGACATAATTGCATGTTTGGGTTGGGACATGCACGTGAAACCGAGTATTTCTATTCAAGTTAGCGAAATTGATGCCACGGTGGCCTTGAAATTTTCACTTACGGTATATAAAAATACCCAATGAGTTGTCCATTTTAAATATTTTTTGATTTAATGATTTCGTTGTAATTTAACAATAATTGTCTTACTCCCAACGAAAAATAATGTAGAATTTGCCGATGTGTTAATACAGTAAAATATGTCTTAAGCGGTCGCTATTGGTTCCGAAGAAAAATGGTCGTTAAATCAGATGGTCGCTCAATGGGGATTATGAGAATACAGGAAATACCCTTATGAAAATTGGAATTATAAGGTTATGAAATTGCTGATCTGATGCGTATTCTGCAACTGCCCGAAATCTTCAAGAGGTCATTTCACACAAGGGATTGAATAGAATTTCATAATAATAATCATACCTTAATTCCATTATTGAGTGAATTAAGAAGAGGCATGGACTTTTCAAGGACGTCGACACACTACAAACACACATGTCTCATTTCTTTATTAATGCAGGCTCTAATGACGAAACTGAAATCTGAATTCGGTTTTAAACTTCTGATGACACCCCACTTCCGTTTCTATGTTTAGAAATGTGAAAGGGGCTCGAAAGAGGAAAGAAACGTCAGCTATGCAATACGCGGAGGTTTCCTGCCAGCCATTGGCACGACTTACATGGAGAGGAATATTTTTACTTTGTTTTAGTCATCGATACTTTTCAAAACATTATTGGTGAGTGAAATTCATCTTTGTTTTTAACAGACACGAAGAGATAGCGGAATATTCCTCTATTACGGATTGCCACATGCGTTTAGTTTTTTCATGACTGCGACGTTTTGTTGACAATTATTGTATATTATCCCAAAAGTAAATGACTGTCGCCTTTGTTTTTAATAGTTCATTGTCTCTGTTACGTATTGGAGCTTCACAGTTTTACCTCTTGTCATCTTTTTGTGTCTCCATACAGGATCTCCGAGAGAAAATTGGTTCCCAGTACAAAGGCACATGGGTTTCCACAAGTATTTCTGTAACCACGAACTCCACACGCAATTATAGAGTTGGATTTTATTTCTTGATTGATTTTATTGATTAAATTGTATAAGAGTTAGAAGGAATATTTTTCGGCGTTCGAATATTCGCAATGGCTCTTAGTCCGCTTTCCCGGGTTCGAGGTTTCTCAGATCGTGACATACACTGTGAGCAGCGCGTGCCTTTTCATTAAGAAAAAAGATTAATTCACAAATTGAAAAATAATTTTGAAATGTATTTACGTGCAAGGTACGATAATAATTGAGTTAAATAATTTTTTTAATTATAATAAACATTATGGGACACTTTGGACTTCAATGGCTAACTGAATTTCATGGTCTTGTCTCACACAGTCCTAATCTTTAGACTTTAAAAAAACTAGACTCTTGTAAAAATAAAATTATCACCATTTTAAGATAATGGTTGTCGATCAAACAGAAAATACGAATAAAGAACTTTATATTATTGTGCAGCTCTCTTGACACTCAGATACATTTAACGGTAACTTAACTCTACAGTTTAAACACAGCACTTATCATGTAACATGAGTTACAACTTGGGGCAATTCCAGAGTTAGCACTGATTACCATTCTTAACCGTCCATTACAAGTGATGCAATGAAAACATCATGTTACACACAATTGAACTGAACAAACAATTTGAGATATGGACGTCATTAACAATAAAGTATGTTAAAAATGTTTAGTTTGAACACAACTATATAATTTTTTGTGGTAAAAAATTTTAAAATTGAATATTGTGGTTTGATTTTTTTCTTTGGTTGGTTTGACATTTCTCTAAAGAGATTCCCACTATTATTTTACAGTAATGTTGTGAAAACAATTATGTAATCATTATAATCATTATATCGAGATGCAAGGATGCATTTGCTCAGGTGGTGGGGGACCCAAATGGAATTTACCAGGCGCGTGCGTGACAACCAAATGTTTTGTTTGGTGGAGCACAACACAAGCGTTCGGTTCTCTCAATGACGCAGTGAGGTATGGTCATATTGTTACAAGTGTGCATGTTCTTTTAAGAGATCACTAAACGACCCCGTGGAACGTGGATGCACTTTTCAGCAACTCGTCGCGTATCTAATATTTACTCAGTAAGCAAGTTAATTCGATGAACAGAGCAGAATATACAGAACAAAGGAAATGGCCATGACAATTCTTAACTTTTATAAAGGTTGATCATAAAACATCCCACAAAAGTATTTCGTTTTTTATACCTCGAAGAAGATTATTAATAGAACAATGTGCAAACGAAATCTGAGAGCTGATAGAAGTTTAGACTTAAACATCTTGAAAAGTGTGAGTTAGTATTAACATTTTCATTATTACATTTTTTTAAAAAGGCACTACAAAAATATACTTCATTCGTATTTTTATATTTCAAACCATTTCTGATCAACTCTTATAATAGTGGTCGTCTGCCATAAATAAAATTACTATTTAGCATAAAATTATCAAGGCACATTACTCTTTACATAAAATATGTTTTAAGTTTTAACTTATTTCTTTTTTGCGCTTGACTTCACAGTATTAATCTATTTCAGAAGCAAAAACTACAAAATATGTTTTACTTCTAAATTCATTGAACTTCTTGACATGTTTTAACATTTTGTTTAATTAAAAAACAGCTAATATTATATTAATAGTAGGTGGTTGAGTATTTTTGACAATAGTTGAAAGAATGGTTATTGTATATTCTTTTTGGAAATTTGATCAGATATAATTGTTTATTATTGCGAAAAACTGTGCAGCTTCAAATTATTTATTAATAGTAAAACATGCGTTTAACTTGGAAGTAAATTCTAATACGGAATTGAAAAATAATTTAAAACCTCACCCGTTTACAATATATTTTAAATGTATCATTGTCCAATGCTATATTAATACGATCCCACCACATAGGTTCGTGGCATTTCCAAGACAGTTTCTGTAATGTATGTTGCATTGCAGTTGTCTACAAGGCCATCAAAACGCCTGCCCACGAAAGACTAGAGCTACTCGCCCACAGCTCCTCATACCGAGCTTAGCAAGACACCAGAACTGGGTTAAGGCAAACAAGAGGGGTCAGGATTATGATGTCATGGCAATGCTATTGTTTTATATGCATTGCAATTCTTGTTGGAACCACGTGTGCTCTTGCTTATTGGAACCACTATTGGAACTCATGGAATCACGAATGATCTTTAAGCACTTGCAACATTCGCAAGAAAAATCTCCTAGGATCTCTTTTTCTTCGTAGTTAAATTTCTGTAAATTCTCGAATTCTCTATAAAGTAATGGAGAAACGGCCGTTCGACCATAATTCACAGAGCATCCAAAATTTGGAACAAATTGTCATTCGACGCATCTGTCTCCTGGTGGTGGAACTGACCATTCTTTTTTCTTTCCATAACGTTCTAAGATAATTATGGAATAAACGTTTTTGAGGGGGAGGGGTAGGAGGCACCCACAATTCATTTTTGATGGGTTTTAAGGCAGCTACCGAGACCAATAACTCTGATTAAGACCAACTGTTTTCTCCGGAACAGTTCAAATATTCTGAAATCTATAAAAGGCAACATTTCTTGACATTTCAAGGCACCTTCAGTGGCAAAACACTGAATATTTGTATTTCTTTTCGAGCATAATGTGAATTGTTAGAAGAAAATTCATAAGATTAACAATTTTTAAACCTAATATTATAATAAAACATTAATCTTTTGTTTAGGAAAGTACATTTATTCGTTTTCATTTAACTGTTTCATAGGATAAACGAGCCAAGCGACTGTATTATGGGAAGTGGGCGTTTTTTTTCATTGTCGAAATTGAATTATTTTGCCGAGACCGTACGTAGAAAAAATACTTAGTTCACGAACAGCATTTTTTATACAAATTTATAAAAGATTTGAAAAACGTAAAACTTTATATTGAAAAAAAGGGTGTTTAATAACGGTAACAATATAGTTGTCTTGGCAGCAGTCTTGTTTTAATGGATATTATAAAACGGCCTATCTTACGGGCGGTTAACTGCTTGGAATCAGCTTATTTATTCAGTTGTAGAAAATAATTATTTTTGTTACGAACTTTCCTAGCAGAAATACCAATATTCAACATTAAAATAGCGCTGAGGGGGGGGGCGCACTAAGCTAGTATAAAACATTTACTTAGTTTTACTAGACTTCTCTTTTTGATTTCTCTATTTTATGAAAATCAACGTTTTCATTTTATTATAGAAATTATTGTAAACTGCATACAGTTTTATATTAAATAACACACTTCAATGGGTTGATTAATAAAAGCAACACAAATGTAAAACAATTTGTTTTATATACGAACTTTACAAAACATCTTGAAAATTATTTTTTAAAACAAAATTGCAAAATTTTCTCTTGCAGGCTTCGATGTATGAGGTGCACACAACGCCAAAAAAATAGATTAAATAAAAGACGAAGCAAACAAAAAGTTCGAACACCGCGGACGAAAACACACAATTTTAATTAGCACGCACGAATCTCGCTCAGTCGTCGGCCATTGTCTTTTTTCGTCCTCCTCAGAGGGAGGCCGGGGGCGGCCGAAGCTTCAGGCGGAGTACGTGACGTTCAGGTTCGCGTAAAGGAACTGTTGGTCGATCCAGTTGCGAAACTTTGCCACGTTCGCATAGACGGCCGGGGTGCTTCCCCCGCAGCCGATGCCCCAGGCCACAATGCCCACCTGCTGGTAGCGCGTCGGGTCCTCGATCAGGGGACACACCAACGGGCTGCCACCGTCACCCTGGAGGCAGCGAAGAAAAACATATGTCTTAGATAATTGCAAATAATACAATGCGTTATTTGTTATTTACCTCATTTAAAGTTATTATTTAATTAATTAATTAATTAATTAATTAATTAATTTATTTACAGGTTGTAACAAAGTACAAATAATGTTGACATTATTTCGCAGAAGACAGTCTTGTGCGCGAACCTGCAATGATTAACCATGTATCATATATCTCTACCTGTTTCATTTATCAATTTTTGAAGAAAAAACAAAATTAAAGAAAAATGAAAATTATAAAATGAAAAATAATATAAATATAATATAATTTGAAACATATTCAGACATTATTCCTTAGTCACTGCATGGGTTGATAGAATGATTGAATTACTGAATCATTCAAATCAGTAATCCAGGATCTGATACGCTTTCGTTGTCCTCGTGTATTAACATCACAATTAATGAATGCTAGAAATAACTTAAATTGATAACGTTAGTAGAACATACTCTGGTTGGCCTACAATTTCTTGAACCACCTGGGTAATTTCTTACCAGGTGGGCACCTGTGCCTTTTCGGCTTAATCCGCACCCCCTCCCCAAGTCGGTGCAGAAGTACGCCACCAAGCTGGTATCTGGGTCCCTCCAGAACGCAGTTTAGGCTCTCCGCATTTAATGCCCGGGTCGGGACGACCTGCCGGCCCAAAGCTACCCAGGCCAATGCCGGCGTCGAATCAATGTGCCACTCACAATGCGCCGAGACAAGACCCTTCTCTATGCCCAGAGTGTCGGGTCACTGCCACGACGAAGCCAAGGGCCCATTTGGGGGCTCCGGGCCGAAGACAGGTGACACGGGGCCTACAAACCGGGTTCTTAAGCTGTGCATGTGAGTACTGCAGGAACCTCACCAAGGGGTGGGGAGAGGCCACGCTCCCCTTCTTGACATTTAAATGTCGGTTTCAAGTCTGCTGCACAAATGATGTCGGATAACGAAACTCCCCGCTCAATCCCACCCAAAAACCGGTGGCTTGCCACCTACTCACTGCCTCCACCTTGAAACTGTCGACCTGAGTACCGCTGGACCGTATGAAACTCTGGCAGCGGGGGCTCATGAGAACCGCCGCCTTTCTGCAGAGAAGGTGCGGGTTAATGAACCCCACGCCCAATCCCGCCCAAAGGTCGGTAGTAAGAGTCATCTATTTACTGACTCCCGTGAGGCTAACGACGTGAGTGCCGCCGTGAAACTCTGCGTCCAGGAGCCCGTTTACAATCCTCCACTAAGAACCGTTCCCTCCGCGGTCTATGTCCCCCTCTACGGAAAATTGATAACATCAGCATTAAGAATGTTTTCGGGTGGTATGGGTTTACTTCATCGCGGTCGATATACTCGCACCTTTCCCCGATGATGACGAAGTGCCGCCTCGGCGAGTGCACTACGACAGGACACTACGTAATCTGTCGCCCATACTTCGCGGCCGGCTTCTCATTAGAGAAGTAATGATCCCAATAACCCAGTGGCAAGAGAGCTTTACAAAAGAACACGCGTGATAAAATTTTCTTTTGAGCGGCTAGGTTTTTCGTCTGGACACACTCGTTCCATACAGGTTTGCCAATAAGTGCTGCAAGGGGTTAATTGATAAATTTAAGTGTGCATGTTCTACATCGGTCCACCATACTGAAGCTCCTCAAAAAATTACAGATTGTATTTACATAAATTGAATTTTTAACCCTATACTTTGACCAACTGTCACCATAGGAGACAATTTTCAACAGCTTTCGACAACTGCTCATACTGCGGTCGATTCACGTCCTTTTCAAACCTGTGAATAGAAAAAATAGTCTAGCTTGTGGCCTCCCAGATCAACTGATCTAAACCTTTGTAACTTTTTTCTCTGAGAATACTTGAGAGATAGCGTGGGCAAAAAACCTCTCATTCGCAGAAAGAGATTCAGCGCTGTATTAAGAATAAAATCGCCGTAAATTATTTACTTCAAAGAGTAAACCAGAATCTGTTCTGGAAGAGCCAAGAATACATTTTGTCGAAGGATAGCACTTTTAGCATCTTGTCTAGAAGAGGTTAAGCGAGGAGAAATGGTTCGTATCTTATCACGGGGTGCTTTATCTCGGCTCGCTAGGTGATCTTCCCGGATTTTCGGCGATCGGAAAATTGTCTGCCCTGCAGTAGGAACGAAACATCGCCAACAAAACACCGATATTTCAATTTTTTTTTAATTTGAAAGATCGTTGTTCAAAATACAGCTACCAAAAACCATCGGTTTCAAAACAAACCGCAGTGGTCATGTTTACTCTTTATAATTAAGACCTATCTGAATTTTTTTTTAATTTAAGAACAATTAACGAGTCTTAATATCTCACCGGATAATACAAAAATAATACGGACATTTATCAATGAAAGATCGATTAACTTATTTCTCACTCTAGGTCACCTTGGTGTGGAGATTGTTAAATTCATGAATATATGAAATTGGTTACAGATTCTTATTACACCTTTTCCAGCGAAAAATAAAATATCAGCTACAAAAAACATCAAGCAGAATATTTGGATGCTAAAAAAATTGACGTTAAATAAATCATAATCGTTAAATAAATCATCTTTGTGAATTTGTTAAGCGTACGTAGGAATCATAGTTTATACACAAGGTAGCAACTCAAAGAAAATCTCAACAATATAGATTTTCACTTCGAAATTAACACACAAAAATATTTCAAAGAAAATACTTCACATGAAACAAATATAATTTGTAATGAGTGTAAGTAATCTATTGTTATATTCTACGAAAGCTAATTCATTCAGTGTTTTTTCCATAACATTCTGAAGTATTTTTAGGGCTCAAGAACTTTGCAACAATTTAAAAAATGATAAGCAGAAAAAAGTCAGAGCAAATGTAAGAAAGGACTACAGAAATTCTGAAAATTACAGACGATTTCTCTGTGTATTTGTTAAGCGTTCTTATAGGAATTCTAATTTATACCAACTCAAAGAAATCCCAACAATATATTTTTCCACTTCGAAATTAACGTACACACAGAAGTATTTCAAAGAAAAGACTTAACATGAAACAAATATTATTTGTAACGATAATTTTTATCGTTAGTAATCTATAGTTTTTATTCTACGATAGCTAATTAATACAGCATTCTCCATAATATTCTAAAGAATTGCCGAGAAGTTTGAGCACAATGAAAGCGCGCTGGGCACGTACCTGGCAGGTGTCCTCGCCCGCGCCGCCCGCGCACAGGAAGCTCTCGTGCAGCACGAAGAACTTGCCCAGGCGCGTCTCGCGCAGCTTGTCGATGCACTCCGCGCGCGGCACGATGGGCAGCTGCACCTTCTTCAGGATCACCTGGTAGTTGCCCTCCTTGCCTGCGGAGCAACGCGCCCAACTCCGAATCAAATCGGTCTCTCAGCTTAGGCTTACATCTGTTACTATGGAGATATTCCGATTATGGTCGTGTGCGGCTTAAAACAACAGGGGGCAACTTCATTTCACGGCCTCGCTGGGCTCCCGTGACCATTAAACGTTGTTTGCTTATGAAAAATGTTTCTAGTAAGTAAATTAAACATATTAAATGACCATCGAACTTATAAATTAATTGATTACTAGTGATTTCGGGTGCGTCAATGGCTAACGTCTTTAGTCCTGTAAGTGTGGTGCATGTTTCCCCCTTGGGAGGCGACAGTCATCTTTCCTCGCTGGATGGCAAGATTTGGCGCCGACCTGTTGGTCGGCGAGCGAAGTTTTCCCCAATCCATCAGCAAGGCACTGCCCCAGCCGAGACAAGCTCATAGCTCCCGACCGGTCTTCCGGCATGTGTGGTAGAGTTGTGCATGTGTGTAGTGTTGTGTAGGTGTGTGTGTGTGTGTGTGTGTGTGTGTGTGTGTGTGTGTGAAGGTGTGTGTGTGTAAGGGGTGAGGAGAGGACAAGGAAGATGAAGATAAGATCGCCCAAGTTCTTCTAACCCTCGGATGAATTTAATATTCAATGGGTAGCACCCTAGATAATCCTGATAGTTCCTTCGATCGAGCTGCCGCAGTAGCAAAATGCTCAGGGTAAAAGTAGCAGTAGGGAAATGCTCTCTTGTCACTAACCAATAAGTAGCAGCTACTGTAGTATACTACTTGGAAATAATACATCACGGAATAACGTCGATACAAACAACTGGAGAGAATTTCTTGATTGAAACCTCATTACTTAACTACTAGTTTCTAATGCTCGAGATATCGATTGCTGATGGCCTGCAAAATTATTATATGGATTGAAATTAATGACAGTAGGTAAGAACCAAACAGAATTTTCGTGTTAAAGAAGGAATTATACATCCAAGGCAAATACCGGGGAAATTTAATCTTAATAAGGATGTGCAATATTACTTTCACAACATCGCGAAAATGAATTTGATATGTGGCTTTTTCATCCCTATTCACAGACTTGAAGTACGATTCTCCATCAGCAGTATTAACGTTGTATACAAGATCTGTTTCAAGGAATTTTGTAACGCCTACGTCTTTCCTTGATCCAGTGTCTGCATATGAAACGAGAAATTATTTGGATAATCCCAACGCCTGTTGATCCGCAACCCACATTGCATGTTCGCGCACCCGGTGTCTAGTTGCGCCTTGCGGACATTCACCTCAAACCCCCACTCTCGCACGGTTTCGGCACTTCCCTCGCTACCTTGTTTCTGGTCATCCTCATTCGGCAAGTGTTTTTTTTTTGTTGGGCAAACAAGCCGCGGTGAACATATGTTTTCTACACGAAAAAAAAATCCATGTTCTGCGTGAAACTATAATTTGTTGCTCAAACTACTTCCTCTTCAGACCTCTAATTTGTATGCAAATATGTGGTGGGGAAAGAAGTTTGTAAGCAGTTAAAGGTGAGAGGTCAGTTTCTTGGGAATTTTGAAGACACGATGGAAGAACTTCTTACGCTTTCTACATGGAAGTGAAGTGAGTGATGTGTGGGCAAAAATATTTCTCGAATGATTATTGTACAAAGTGTACAGTGTGTGATCAAGATCTAACTTTTCTTCTAGAGTAATACCAAAATAAATGAGGAAATAAATTCTAGTGTCCTGCAGCAGCAAAAATATTGCTGTTGTGTGTGAGGGAAATGGGGTCTTGGAGCAGCAAAACTTGGCTGTTCTGAAACCGCACACGTGAAAACAAACTTCTTTCTCTTTCAATGACGTTAGTTATTTCGTAAGCGATGACGCTCAGATTATGTGAATATTGTCGTAAAGTGAAACCTGAGAAATTGCAGATAAACATATTCGAATATTTTCATTTTTTCCTTGATTTTATGTTTCAACGATTTTGTATTTGTCCCGTATTTGTCCTAACTAAACCATTGATATCCCTCATGTGGCCAGAGGCATACTTGTTTTCGTTTACGTTCGTGTACGTTTACGTGTGTATTAGACATTAGAAACAGAGATAAATTAATAGGGGCAAATACCAAGGGAATATTGAAAAGGATGGCTAGGAGATGGACGACTCTGAGCTTACTTCCTGAGAACAATGGACCTTTTATCGGATATGACAGAAATTAATTTTTTGTCGTAGAAGTCTATACCAAATAGCACAAATTCTCCAGGATATGTACTTCATTGATATACGAAATCATCTTTTTAAATTAAACAATTACGTTTTTTATATTTCCTTCTTGTTATTCAAATTAATGAAATGATACTTGGTACTATTTTTGTAGGAAATTTTATGTTAAACTGTACTGTACAAACCCAACAGAGATGTAACGATAGTCACTTCGTACCAGTTGCTTCGAACAGAACAGGTTTGTTCATGCTAACCAATGAGGAAAACCTACATCCAGGAATAAGATACGTTTTCCTTTACTGCAGGGGAGGACAAACATGATTTATATGATAATTCACGATTATCGATACGTAATTGTTTCGATGTGTGCATTCTAATATTACATTACTAGCAGCCACAAAGAATGTAACTGCTAAAACCATTATCAATTAAGATCTATGCACCGGGCAACATCTTTGAAGTATATTTTTATTCGGTTTTTATGGATTTGTACCAAGTAGTTACTAGTTGTGAGAACTGTGATAGGATTTGACTATGGGTATAAAAGCGTCTGTTTGAAAATATTACATACAAAAGTCCATATGTGTACTATTGTGTTAATGAGATTGTCCACAAGGAATATTTGTTTGTATTCCCTGGATTAAAGGGCAAGGAATTGCGAAGGCACGTGCCAACGCATTCAGGTGATGTGAGAGAAGATTTATAAACAGTAAAATATTTTAACGACTTCCTGGAGAAAATTTCATCCTTACATGAACTCGTATATTACGCGACTTAAGAGGATAAAAATTTCGATTTTCTTTTTCTTTTCCCAGTTTATGTGAAAGTGTTCCACAAGTAATGCGCATATCCTTGCAACACCGCAATTACTTTACTATTGAAGGGTACAGTTTGGATAGAAGCAGTTATTGCCATTGCACATTGCTCTCCTCCCAATTTAAGTGAGGCAATCGAACACGTTCATTATTAAGAAACAGTGGTTAATTTTCTCTCTCCTCCCAATTTCTTTGTTTACTCTTTATAAGTAAAACGTTTGATACATTATCTCCTTTTTTTTAAATTTCTCGGTTTATCTATCATCGATGCGTCAGAAACGTGACATCTCAAAAATTTTGTATGATAAGGTAAATGAAAAAGTATGTTTAGACAATATTTAATTTTTAATAATACCAATAATTTCATCAAGACAGCTCACAATAAAGCCGATAAAAATATTAAAACACTGTCTTCGGGAGCGAAACAAACTGCCCTTCTTAGGATAAATCCTTTATCTCGCAAAATAACTATTTGACATACTAGGACTCTCCATCATCTGAAACGTGGTTATCTAATAGGCATCATTAATTGCAAAACTTCAGTTATGTCAATTTGTCCTACATTTTAATTTCGTACGTCACAATTCCTTGATCGCCGACAACCATAACACCATATGGTCCCTTGAATTAACGTTTTCTTTTTTAGATCTTTTTCTCTTATCTTTGTTACCCATCTATTGCAAACTACTTTGCCATTGCACATTGCCCATCCCCGATTTCCTGCTCGCTCCTTGTCTCTTAGCTTGGTTACCCGCCATTGCGAATCACCTGTGAGTTTTGACCCTTGACTTCCTTTCGCGTAGCTTGGTTCGCAATTGTGGGTATCACGTGTGTGTTTTGCCCACCCCTGACCTCCCGCTCGCCCGCTCTGCCGCGGCGCGGCGCTGCGCGGTCACTCACCGAAGACGTGCTTGCCCCAGCCGGAGGCGAAGCAGCGGCTGCCGTCGTAGCCCGAGTCCTGCGGCGGCACGCACACCACGTCCACGTGGTCGGCCAGCTCGGCGGGCTTCTCCAGCGTGAGCAGCGCCACGTCGTTGTAGAGGACGTCGTCGCGGAAGTCCGGGTGCAGCGTCACCTTCACCACGCGCCGGTCCTGCAGCGGCAGCGGCTCGTTGTTGGTCTGCGTGTCCCACTCGCCCAGCCGCACCCACAGCCGGTCCGAGCGCACGCTGCCACAGAGCAAGAGGCAACGACACATCACGACACTACGACGACCGAACCCAACGAAAGAAAGAAAGAAAAAGGAAAAAAAAAAAAAAAAAAAAAAAAAAAGAAGAAAGAAAAAGAAGAAAAAGAAAAAAGAAAAAGAAAAAAAAAGAAAAAAAAAAAAAAAAAAAAAAAAAAAAAAAAAAAAAAGAAAGAAAAAGGAAAAAAAAAAAAAAAAAATAAAAAAAAAAAAAAAAAAAAAAAAAAAAAAAAAAAAGAAAGAAAAAGGAAAAAAAAAGAAGAAAAAAGGAAAAAAAAAAAAAAAAAAAAGAAAGAAAAGGAAAAAAAGAAAAAAAAGAAAAAAAAGAAAGAAAAAAAAAAAAAAAAGGAAAAAAAAAAAAAGAAAAAGAAAAAGAAAAAATAAAGAAAAAGGAAAAAAAAAAAAAGAAAGAAAAAGAAAAAAAGAAAGAAAAGAAAAAAAAAAAAAAAAAGAAAGAAAAGAAAAAAAGAAAAAAAAGAAAGAAAAGAAAAAAAGAAAAAAAAGAAAGAAAAAGAAAAAAAGAAAGAAAAAGAAAAAAAGAAAGAAAAGAAAAAGAAAAAAAGAAAGAAAAGAAAAAGAAAAAAGAAAAGAAAAAGAAAAAAAGAAAGAAAAGAAAAAGAAAAAAGAAAGAAAAGAAAAAGAAAAAAAAGAAAGAAAAGAAAAAGAAAGAAAAGAAAGAAAAGAAAAAGAAAGAAAAGAAAAAGAAAGAAAGAAAAGAAAAAGAAAAAAAGAAAGAAAAGAAAAAGAAAAAAAAGAAAAAGAAAAAAAAGAAAGAAAAGAAAAAAAGGAAAAAAGAAAGAAAAGAAAAAAAGAAAGGAAAAAAAGGAAAAAAGAAAGGAAAAAAAGGAAAAAAGGAAAAAAAGGAAAAAAGAAAGAAAAGAAAAGGAGGAGAAATCGCTCACCTGGCGACGCAGTGCGCGGCGGTGAGCACGACGCTCGGGTGGATGAGGGAGCCGCCGCAGATGTAGTTGGTCTTGGGCGTCTCGGCGTCGGCGGTGGAGTCGTCGCGCAGGACGGCCGCCATCCAGGGGAACTCGCCGAACTGCGCCTCGTTGTTGCTGTCGCCCGTGATGCGCATGTTGACGCCCTCCTCGTTGCGCCGGCCGCACAGCCCCGGCTGGCGCACCACCACGGGCCCCTTGGGCTGCGCGTCCTTCGGCTCCTTGCAGCACACGTCAAGGTAGTGCTCGCACTCGCCGTCCTTTATCCTGGGCAGGACGAGCCACGTCAGCGGGCGTCTATCACACTGGCTTTGACGGGCGACTTATACGTCTATTAACACGTTATGATTAACAAGCTAGCTTGTGGAACGAAGGAGGAAATATAAATAAATCCACGGGCTGAATGGTGAGTATTGACTGAACTGATGTGTACTAAATTGCCTAATTATGTCCCTACTTTCTCACAAACGTTGGGGTTTTAATTAATTTGCAATGTATGTTTAAGTCAAAATATTGAAGTCTGTTTATATTTTATGGAGTGATATTCTAGTTTGTAAATTGTGTTTCTCCCATGCTCTTTAAGATTGTTTAATACAGTCTATTTCAACATTTGTATTAATTAAATACATTAAGATTGTTATAAATAGATGTTATCTGACACCTTTATTTTTGATTTTTTTTTCTCCCAAGTTCCGTGTACAAAGCGACCTATTCAACTACCTATTCCACGTCATCAAAGACCTCCACAATCGATCCTTTCCTGTCAAAGTAAACAACTCACTATCCCAACTATCCTTGCAGGATCCCTCAAGGCTCTTCACTATCCCCTACGCTCTGTAACATATTCACCCACGATATCCTCAGCCATCCCTCCACCGAAATGGCCCTCGGTGCAGATGACACTCCAGTCATTCTCACCAAAACGCCTGTACTTCCCTTTAAAAAGCTCTAAACGAACTATCCAATTGGTCATCGAACTCGCAACTTAACCTAAACCCCACCAAGTACATTGACAAAACCTTCACCCTAAAACGTATCCTAAAACGTCTACTTCCTCCTCTACATAGCATCTACTCCATTCAAATGGGCAGAGCAGAGCATATCTAACCCGTCTAACCACGAAAGCCCATATACATTCTAGCCTATTCCTCCTTTCGTCAACTTTATCCTTTTATTAATAGAAAATCATCCCTCGAGCTAAGAACCACCCTACACCTATATAAATCCTTAGTCCCCCCTGCAATCACGTATGCAGCCCCGATATGGGGAGGTGCAGCTCCCTCAACAACAAAACACATCCAAACCCTACAAAATAAAGTCTTCATTACATGGTACATTTCAAATGTACAAATTCACAATGACTTAAAATTTCCTCCAGAAGCCCAGCACATCGCGCGCCTCTCCGAAAGATTTTTCAACCTCCCTTTCCAACAGACATTCTCATGAAGAAAAACCACTCATTCTCACCTAAACCAATCCCCTCCAGATTCCCCAAAGATAAATTCCACCCTCCGTAACTCCAATTCTATCCTCACATTATATGCCCCGTTACCGCACTCACCTCATCCTGATTTTCCATTGAAGAGCCCAGTGGGGTCACCCTCATTTTTTACTATGTATTATTATGTACATATGTGTATCACAACCAAACAATTCTGGGAAGTGGCTATGTACTCTGTACTTTACAGAAAAAAGGAAATAATATAGTTTATACATTAAAATGTATTATTACAGATTAATCTCGAGAGATAATGTAATGAGAAACTTTACATTTATAATCTATTCCAGTGTATTTCCACTATTACAGAATGAGAATGTGATATAATTTCTATTTTATTATCTGGAAAATGTCATTTACTCCGCTTGTCGGAAATTCTTTCTCCGAATTATGAAATATAAAGAAATAAAACATAATCTATGAAATTAGGAAGGCTTTCTAAGAATAATATGAATATGCCAACGACAAGGTACGTGGCAAAATATTTTGAGATATCAGTCATAAAATGAAGCCAATTTTGTATTTTCTTCATAAAAATTAAAATTGGTAGACATCATTCATTAAAAAACAATCTCTAATATCAAAAGATTTCGAACGAACCACAATACCACTGCCTACCCTATTTCACTGAATGGTAAAAAAACACGTTTTTCACCTGATGTCTATGAGGCCGACTCCATTTTGTACGATGGTGCCGTTTTGGTCGCACTGGTAGTAAGGGACGCAGGTACAAGGTTCAGCCGGTGCAGTGTCCTGCGCTGTCGCTGAACACACCACCACTGCCAGCACCAACCACGCAATCAGCGCCATCTTTTGGGAGGAGAGCTCCTTTATCTGAAAAAAAAAAAAAGGAATTACTATGATAACTTTCACAATATTATTGCGAACAAGAATATTCAAATCCCAGTTGCTAGTAAAACAACGTAAACATCTATTTCTTAAAAGATTGCAAACAAGGCGAACAGTAATAGTGTATGCAATTAGTTTATAATGTTAAGCTTTATTGTACGAGTACATGTTTTGAAAACGAGCGACTTTAGTTCGCTTCTAAATGTAATGTAATAAAGCAACATTATAAACGAGTTGCATACTATATTTTTTGTATAACATCATTATACATTTATAAGAGAATCTAACTTTTAATTTTGGGAAACAACTTCCCTGTGACGACTCGGGAATTTGACATCGTGCGAGTGAACGGCGGTTCCGTTTAGCTCTACCTCCCCCCAATTCTCTCGCTACGATTGGCTAAATGTGTGATGACGCAATCATTCGTGACATAAAATCTAATACGTCATCATTTGTGCCGTAAAATGCCCGATTATGAACGATTTCTTGCAATAGAAAACGTTATTTTATAATGCTGGAATACAAAAAATATTTCTGTAAGGTAACGTCGAAGTATTCGGCGATTTAAAATTTAAATCTCGCTGAGATTTCGTTTTATTTTGTATTTTATTCATAACATTTTTTCCCACGAGTTTTCTCCATCGTCAAAAACCCGTATTTTTACATTACCTAAGATATTCTGTGAATGTTGTATGCAAAGAATTTAATGTTTGGCAATAGTTTCAGTACACATTTTGCACACTCATTTAGTATATCATAGAGGAGAACTATGCTATGCATTCCAATCCATGGGACAAGGAAAATAAGAATGTGATTTAAGTGTTATTTTATTATCTGGAAAATATAATTCGCTCCGCTTCTCGGAAATTCTTTCTCCGAAATATGAAATACTGCACAAAGAAATAAAACTTAATATGTGAAATTTGGAATGATCTCTAAGAATGTGAACGTCAACGAAATAACGACTAAAGCAAAAGTACTTTTGAAATAACAGAAATGAAGATTGGAAAGCTAGAATTCTTTAGAACTGTCAACTCATACGTTTAGTACTAACGTCAAACTGTAAGATTCTCATTAAAAGACGACGCGGAAATTCGTAAAATGAAAATTCAAAAACATTAAGCTTTGCTCTTAAGTGTATTGATGTAATTTGACAAACATATTCAAGGATGTAACGACTGTGTATACTTAATTACGGCAAATTTAAAAGGAATTCTTATTCTTCTACAAGAATTTTACTATCGCATTTGTAACGTAATGCCTTTCTGCGGAAAATATTGCAAAAACAAATCACATTTCCATTCCCGAAGCAGCGAAAGAATCGATAGACTTCGCGTAACTTAAAGGGAATGGATTCATTGTCTCCGTAGTCGCAATACGACCGCCACCTTATTTCCGCGTGAACACGACCTTCACTGCAGTAGGTCACGACCACGCACCGTTTGTCCACAAATCTCGCGGAACGCGTGAATCTGCGCTGACACTCGGGGGCCGAAGGTCGCCCGTATTGTCTGCGCGAACAGAGGTGAAAAGCGGTTTGAAAGGGCGTGGTTAATGGGGCGGGGACTGGCGATCTCTCCGTCTAATGACCTTGTTTAGATGCGAAGGACGACCGCTGGCTTCAATAATCTGATCACTACCACTATCTGATCACTACCACTATCACCACCATCGCCGCATCGAAATATTTCACTACACAACATCTCCTTATTTAACTCTGCTGCGATTATATACTGTTCAAAAGAAAAAAAGTAGCGTCTTCAATACTGAGTATACTCGCTTAGCATGGAGCCTCGCACGGGTTTGATCATTTCAAGTTTCATTTGTTCTTTGTGCCATTATATACTGTTCAAAAGAAAAAAGTAGCGTCTTCAATACTGAGTATACTCGCTTAGCATTGAGCCTCCCACAGGTTTGATCATTTAAAGATTCATTTGTTCCTTGCAAGTACGTAATAAATTTTGAACGTACTACATGAAGTATTGATTAAAATACTTCTTTAAATGTTTCTTTGATTACAAAATAAAATGTAATTATCGTCAATTTGATGAATCAAGCGTTAGCGATTCATTTAAATTTCTGAAAGAGAATAGTAATTTACTGCATTCCACTAACGTTCTCGTAGGTGAATATAACCATCAAAAACAGTTTTCCAAGTATTGTCTAGGATCATCAAGGGAATTGTGCCAGTCGATTTGCCTCTAGAGGAATCGGATGAGCAATTGATCTCTCAAGGTAACGCGAGTCACCCAAAATGAGTTTTCGTGATTTCAAAAAAGGGTTATTTATGAACCATTTATGGACGTTATAAGGGTTCTAATGATCGAGCGTCGACAAAATACCCGAGAGCCTTTGTTCCGAGGTTAATTTGTGACCCGAGATCATTAGAACCAGTTAACGCCCGTGGTACATCTATGCTTTTATGTTGTACTTAATATTGATTCAGATTTACTTATTTACTAATTAATTAGATGTTAACTTTACTCGGTTTGTCTTTTCATATTTCCCTCTCACAATTCCTTTTCATAATTGCCTCCATAAGAGAACTTGTAGCATCACTTAACTGTTGTTTTGAAAGAAAATTTTAAAATTATTCAGTGAGAATAAGACTGTCTTTCTTGATGTGTTTTTAGAATTGGTTTGAAGGTCCTTCTTTTAGGCCAACATTCATTCACATAATACATTTTTATTTAAAATCAATCATTAGACCCACGTTTCGAAGGCCATTGGCCTTCATTTTCAGAGTCATCTTAAATTTGTTCTTTGTTTATGATAATTAGTTTATGATATACTATTAATTAAGAGGTTGTAACTCGATAAAAAGTATGTAACATTTCATGAGAGCGAAATATCAAGTTATTATTTTTTTTATAAAAAAAAAGATTATTAAAAAGCATTACTTGATATTTCAGACAATTAGGATTAATTATTTTATCTTAGTTTTAATACAACGTAATGTAATAGCCTTGCTTTGAATAATATTTTGTTACATATGAATAAAACAATAGTGGTTGCTTAAGAGCTCAACTGTTTGTGAAGTCACCTAAAATAAATGTACTGCACATTTTCTTTTCTTTGTATTAATAATTTCTTACACGTCATATTAAATCAAAAACAGCAATACAAAAAATATTGCTGCTCCCGTTTCCTTAATTGTGAACGTATTCTTTAAATGCTCTTTATCAGACTGACATTTGAGGCCAGTGCCGAAGTTCCAATGTGGCAGATTAAGAAGAAATTTTGATTAATACGAATGATTTATTTCTAACATATTTCAAAAATGAAAACTGACATACTATTTAGTCTCTGGAATAACTATTTGACAGTAAGGTTGATTATATTTTCTATATATTGCGTCGTTTCCAATCGGATGGACGAAATAAGGGGGACGGGGCAGTCGCTCCTACCGCCTTCTAGCTCTTTGTTCCACCATAACCCGGACATCATTTTTTTTAACGAAGTGAAACAAGATGTCACCACTCTCATAATATTTCAAGTTAGGTATTCTCTGTTGCACGCAATGAACAGAAATCGACCTCAGTTTATGTGTACAAATTCGTTATCTATAAAATTTGTTAATTTTTGATAAACACAATCACAGTTAACTCTAAATTTTCCTTATCTGCCAGCTTCCTTAAATATGTTAAAAATGTTGCATGAAGCGACTCGTCATTTTAAATTATGAAAAACGAATACAGTTATCTGGAATGGATTCTTTTAAGGAAATGCACTTAAATGCATCTGAGAGTCACTCACTGCACACTCTTTGAGGCCCTATGTTTCAACTTTCTTTAAACTGATAACACTGGAATTAATCGTCATATTAAAAGTTATTTTTGCTGATAAAGCCTTTTTAAATAAATAATTCAACATCGTGTGTGCATAAGTAAACATCATTCTTGATCAAAACCTTATTAATTATACATTTCCAGTAAGATACTAGTTTGAGGAGTGAAAATGATCATCACTATTTCACCGATTCAAATAGTTTGTCAGTTCATATTTTGAGACCAGACTATGCAAGTCTAGCATTTCCACCACATGTTTTTTATTAAATTAACTTCTACATCATCATTTTTCATTTTCATTGCCAATTTATGCTTCACATTATTTTGCCTTGGTGTTTTTCACTCCTTACAATAGTTCCTGACTTTCTATTCTATTAAAGATGTTGTAAAAATAGAGTCAAGTAACATTGAGAAATCATAGCGTGAATTTCGTTCTTTCTGAAGCAACCACAGAGACTAATTTCTCAAAAATTGCCACGTTTATAATTATTATTCCAATTAAAAATTTGTATTTGGCTTAAAACGAAAATACGTTTATTAATTTCAGAATTTAATTTGGTGTTCATTGCAGAGCATTAATGGAATAGTTTTTGTTTGTTTCAGTCAGGATATAATGTTAACGTTTCCATTCCGAATTTTGCACAAATCATTGAGCTACATTCCTTTTGTACTGAAACTGTATTTCTTTTAAAATTATAGTAGATTTAAGTATTATCAGATATTCTTATGGCATAGTTAAATCCTCACCATATTTCAAAAGCTGTTCATCTTCATTGCATATTAATTTAGTTTATTTTAACTTCCCGAAATACTTCTCAATACAATCTGTTCCTTTGACATTCCGAGAAATTCCTCGCCTACCTCCCATTATTTCCTTTGGGAAAATGAAGGTTATATCGACGTAACTTCTTTCTAACATGTTCCGCCCCGTAGTTCCTCGAGGAAAGTCATTTACTGCTGCCACAAATTCTCCTTTTTTATTCGTCCCATCCGCTCTGCCATTGTGAGAATCGAGTGTTAATTGTTGCAGGGATGCTCGTCCTCTATAGGAAACAAGAATACGCCTGTAGCTGTGAGTGCTGCTATAATGCTGCAATTTTGAAAGGCCGCTGATTGCGGGTTTTCCCTTGCGATTCAATTTCAAGAGTATTGAACTCCGGAGCTTTTTGTGTCCAGCGAACAAAATAAAAGGAAATT